TGGGCACCACCCTTTTAAATCACTTCTTTTCATGTAATCTGACAAGACAGCCTGTCAGTGCAAGACCACTCTCTGCAAGGCATTTTGCTCACTTTTGCCCACCCGATCAGCAGTTCAAGGGCTTTCCTGTTCAGCCCTACAGCACAGATGGAAAAGGGGCATTAGTCTCTATTTGCGCCTTCGTGCTCCTCACCATGGAGCAGTGGGTGCAGAGCCAATTCACAGTGCTGAATCCCTCCCGCCAGCCCATCCATGAGCATGTGGAGCCCAGTTTCGACCTGCCTTTTAATTTGTTCGGTCTGACGTGTGTTTGACTTGGAATCTCCATGTGGTCCCACGCAACCTATTTCTGAACCCAGGCAGATTACACGTGCAGCCTGTGTGTATTTAATGTGTGCCGGCTCCATGTGTGCTTTAGGGGGATTTGATGGAGGGTGTAGTACAGCTGTGTGCTAATTTGTGAATACAGAAGCGCAGTCGGGTAACTTCTCTGATGGAAGCATATAGGTAAAAGATCTATTGTCATGATTTGGAGTCCTAAATAGCAGTCTGCCTCAGAAGATGGTCTATATGAGGAGATTTAGGCTCTCTCCTATAAACAAGTGCATTTTTCTCCTTTCTTCATTCTTTGTTATCACTGTAAATAGATTGTAAATTTACGACAGTGCTTTTCATGGTGATGGCAATATTGGTTAAATCAGTCTGTGAATGAAATTGTCTTGTATTCTTGTTCTCTAGCAGCAGTACTGCAGTATATATCCTGCCCATAACACCCATGTCTGGTTTGGGTCAACATCATTTCTTCATTTCTCTATGGAGCTTTAAAAAGACAGGCAGGGAGGGCAGGGGAGGTAGAGGGGGGGAGAGAGAGAGATGTACGTATGATTGCAGTACGGGACGGCCAGTCCCTGGTGTGAGGCTGCTGTTTTGTTAGATTGGCTTCTGACATCAAAGATAGCTTTGATGCTATCTTACCATTTTTATTACAGAAATCAAGCATCACAGGTTAAGTGTCATCTTTTCCAGGTGTCACCTTTACGTTTCCTCCAACCTCGGCAAACCTATTCCTGTGTTTGTTGGGTCTAATTTGATATTAAACAATACCAACTTCACTGTCTTCACGTTAAAAGGGTCTCAGTTGGAGGTGGCTTCATTGCATTTCTCTATGTTGAGCAGAGCACAGTCTTCCCTGGTCCCTCCTCTGAAATGTCACTGCTTTTTTGCAGTCCCTGGAGGTGAAGAGTGTCCCTCTTTGGACATGGGAGTTAGATACGGGCAGCCTGTCGAAACGAGCCTTTTCTCCCTTCATGTAAACAGCGTGTCCCTGGGCTCTCCACAGCACAGCGCCCGAGCTGTGGTTGCTTCATCCCCCGAGACTTGGTGCTTGCGGCAGTGCCTCTGCTATGAGGAATAAATGAAATATGCCAATAGTCCATGTTCATGGCTCTACAGGCAAAAAATAAAGGGGAGAGAGGGCATTTTGGGGGGCCAGGGAGTCTCAGGCAATACCTAGGCTTGGCAGCAGCGCCGTGTGTGCTCCCCGGGGCTTCTCCAGGGACATGGGTGGTAGTGGTTTAGCTGAGAAGCCTATGAGTAAGGGCTGGAAACAAGCAGGTGTTTGCCCTCGAGCACAGCTTTCCTCGCTGCTTCAGCAGCGCCAGGGCTGAGGTGGCAGAGCCGGGAGAAAGACCCGCATGGGATTTGGGCAACCCAAGGGGAGGTGGTGTGGCCACTGGGGAGGGCTTTTGCACCCTCTTAGAATCACTTTGAGTGACCAAAGGGAGAGGAGGAGTAATTAAAAATGCAATCTCTGCTCAGGAGAGGGAAGGGAATGGTTATTGTAATATTGAAGCATTATTTTGGGAAAATTCTATGTGGCCCAGTAAAGGAAAAGCTTTAAAAGATTTAGCTGCTTAATCCTGCTTATCTGCTGTTAGACCTTCACAAAATCTCCCGGAGAGATTCAGAGCAGCATCCAAATGCACAGACCTCACCCAGGGCCCCGGCAGCTCCCTCTTCCCTGGCTTAGAGGTTGGGGAAGAGGCAGCATGTAGCTCGCTGCCTGTGTAATTGTTCCAGATGAGCAGCAGCAGTCTTTTTTTTTTTTTTTTTTTTTTTTTCATAAATGGCCAATGATCTTTATGTTTGTATGCTGAAAATGTTCAAATAGTTCTGATAAATAATCTGGAGAATGGTCTGTGCCTTCTCCCAGATGGAGTACAGGGCTGGAATTAATTGAAAATGCTTTAATGATGGTGTATTACTTGTAATTATTCTGTGGCTTTCATTCTGCTTCTACCTTTGGTGAGATGTGTTCCCTCAAAGGACGCGTGTAGCAATTCTTAAATCTTCCAGTAACTGCAGAAATGCAGGTGGAGAAGGATCAAAGCTTTATTAGAAGAAATATTATATGGATAATAGCTGATTTACAACTTAACTTTCCAATGTATTAATGACATTCTATCAAGTGAAATGTAAGCGTGGTACTAACTTGCAGTATATGGAAGGTCTCCAGAGCCAAGTAGCTAAAGTCACTTCTTCATCGGCTATCCTCTCTTCAAGGAGGTCATTCTTCTGCTGCGTTTGTACTTGTTGAGGTTATTAAAATGTAGGATTTTATTCCCTCCCCCCCAGTCATCTAATAAGGCATTGGGTGTTGCTTCTGAAAAAAAAATGTGGTGACTTATTAAAGTTACAGGCTGTATATTTTTAAGATTCCTGAGGAGGTGCAAAGACACTTATGTCAGTAATTCATTCCTCTGAGAAGGTGTCAGCATTTGCTGTGCAGACACCTATTGGGCTGTTTTGTTTAGTTAGAGACTTAAGGCTACATTGCTTTAAAAATAAATTTCTTGTGATATGGGACAGCAAGGGGCTGAACCGTAATTCCATGCAGACACATATATTTATTTCTTCCTTTGTACTTGTTTTCTTGACATTATTTGGGCAGTAGGAAGGGACTTCGATTTGACCATAAAAGCTACAGTTCCTGTGACTTTTTTCCCCTTTTACCTGTGCAGTTAGCCAAAATTTGGTCTTCAGTTGCTTCACTGGAGGAATTGGTGGAGATAGTTAGGTACATATATGCAAAGTCTTTCTGGAAACAGGAGAGTTTGGTTACCAGGGGTCACATTCCTGCACTTCTCTTGGGTCAGGTTCCCCTCCCTGCGCATCTCCGACAGCTTGCTGGACGTGTCAGGACACAAGTCCACCTCTGTGCAAGGGTTTCCTCCTCCTGGCATTCATCTGCCTACCTGTTGCCAGCTGAAACTCCTTGCCCAAACAGTTAGATCCCAGACTGTTATTTGGATATGCTTGTGTTTGGGGTGCACAAACAGATGGGTTTGGGATCTGGAGACTGCTGTCCTCGCCAATGCCACCTGTGTGGAGGGGCTCACCAAGCGCACACTTCTGTCTCTGATGTGGGCATCTCTAGGTTTCCCCCTGCATAGACCTATCGAAGGCAGAGAACTCAAATCCTCAGGGGCTCTGCCTGTTGATTGCAGCTCCTGTAGGAGAAGCCATTTCACAGCAGTTATTCTGGCGTGGTGCCTGGCATGGACACTTCAGTCAGGAGTAGAGGGGCCAGGATGGAGATAGGTTTTGGAGGGTTCCTTTGACTGAGGTACTGAGGTTGGGGAGCGTGGGGTTTGTTTTCTTGGTGTTTTTTATTTCTTTTTTTTCTTCCAGATTTTGGTTATCCCTTCAAATTCTGCCAGGCAGTTTCCTCCCATAGGTAGAGCCTTATTCATGCGCCCCACCAGGCAGCAGAGCTGGAGAGCTGGCCTGGGCAGGCTTTGTGTTCTGCTTCGCCGTGGTTTTGCTCTTTAACTTCTGAGCGCAGGAGAGAGGCAGAGCAGATAACTTCATGAAGCGACTGAAAGGCTGTGCACTTCAAGGCTTTTTTTTTTTCTTTACTGTATTTGAAACATATTTTTAATTTTAATAAACACAACCACAGTAATTAAGTAATATCATTCTGAAGATGTAGCCTTCATGTGCGTTAAGATAATTATTTTTAATGCTTGTAGGTTGCTTTATACTGTGTTATTTCAGCTTTCTTTTATAAATAATGTATTAACTTATTCATTCTCTGCACCAGTTGAGCATTTTTGTTTTCAAGGATTTAACAGAAGGCTGTCGTATTATTAGAAACTCTACAATCAGACTAGAAATTCCTCGGAACAGAGTTATCTTGTTTTGTATTTTGTTACAGTATCTGGCATAAAGGAGTTTGGACACCTGGGAGCTTTGAGGTTGCTCAGTTTCAAACCAAGTTACCAAGTGGCTGCTTTCAGGAACCAGCTCCAGAGGAGGAAGAAATTCAGCTGGGCATATATGAACATGTAGCAAAAAATACAGGCTTTCTGTGGTGTTTAGAAAACCAATGCAAAAAAAGATATGGTGAAGATAGCAACACAATTAACCCCAGGAAGTCAATATTATTTATAACCTTTAAAAATGCGTGCACCCAATATCACAGTAGTCATTATTGCAATGACGAGGTTCCCTGAAATAATTCCTGGAAGTACCACAGAAAGTGGAGAAAGGAGAAGTACCACTTCTCACAAAAGAGGAAAATTTTAGAAGTTGTTACTTAAAATATATCATTGTATTTTGTTTGTTCCTACAGACACTGTTTTTACCAAACTTCAGCAAATGCAGCAAACAAAAGTGTTGTTGGGTAACCAGGTACAACGATTTTCCTGGTGGTGGCATCAATGATCTGCATTTTGGGTAACACAGAGGGACCCTGGCAGGCAGCGGGCACGTTTCCATCAGGGCTTTCATCCCCTGGGCATGCACTGGCCTGTCACCCACCGGGCGGTTTCCCACGGGGAGGTCAAGCGCCAGCTTGTACCCACATCTATTGCAACGCCCAAGGTTGCACCTCCACGTCACCTGCTGCGGACCTGTCGGATGTCCCCTGGCTCCCAACCCAGGCTTTCCCTCCCAATATTTCCCACTCACGTCTATCCCCCCTCTCTCTGACTTTGCAGCCGCTGGGCCAGTCGCAGCACCACCACGCAGCGGAGGAAGGATCGCCTGCGGCAGCACTCAGAGCACATCGGGCTGGACAACGATTTGAGGGAGGTAGGTGGCATCATCTGCGGGTGGCATGAGCTTGTGATCCAGGAGATGCTATTTAGGCAAAAAATGCGTTGTTACTTTGGGCAGTTTGGTTGCTACCGTAAGGTTCGTGTGGGTCTCGGCAGTCATTTCAGTTAGATGCTGTTTGTCACAGATGCCTGTATGCGTTGTACAACTTCAAAGCACGCAACAGAAATAAAATGCTTTTATTATTTTGGAGTAAGATAGCCTCTTTGTCATCAGGAAAATGGCTTATTTGCTGACATAGACCCCAGTCATGTAACTGCATGCAGAGAGCAGAGCCCTGGTGCCTGCCTGGTGCCAAGCTCTGGCCAAGGTAAAGGTCTCTGCAAAAGTCAAGTCCTTAAATAAATGTCAGCACTGTAAAGGCCAGTGAGGCTGGACTTTTTTTCTTTTTTTAAAGGATTTTTTTTTCTCTCTCTTTTACGTAGATTCCTGATATGAGTAAGCCTATTTGAAAGGTTAAGACTTTGGGGCCTTTTTATGCCTAAAGCTTGGAAACTCCCATACATCTTGTAAATGTCAGTCACATACACACATTTCTTTCCCATCTTTTCAGTTTGTTGTCCTTCATTAAATATTTTCTGCCATATTTTTCCACTGATGTCCATGTGCTTCTTTTGCATGTCACTAGCAAAAATAAAACATTCATGCTGTTTTGTGGTAAATCTTGCTGAATGATGTTGGCCAGCACTGGCATTTGCACTCCGAAAGAACCCAAACAGATGAGTGGACCCTTGAACCGCAGCTTTGAACAATGTTTCATGGAAACACAGCAAAACAGCACTTGTACGTGTTTGTTGCTATTTTTGCTAACGTGGCTTTGCAAGTATATTTTAAACGTTGCCTCGAGTGTATAGCTCAGCAGAGCCTTTTCAATACTTTGTCATGAATTTACTTTCTTCTTTTTTTGGCTGTGGATCATATGCATGCTTCTTTTGCTTTGTCTCCTCTTTCTTTCTGGCTGTTCTGTGCCATTGGGGCATCTGCCTCCTCTTAGCCATCGGAGGAGCTTTTGCTTCGTCAGAACTCAATGGCCTTCTGGGAGTGGGATCAGGGACCACCCCCTCCTGCACGGCCTCCTAAAAAATCCTTCTCTGAATGCTGCCTGGTATGTTTTAGTTTTTCTTGTTGAAAGCTGCTTTTGAGATGTTGTTAGCGTGAGGAACCGCTGTCTTCGCTGCGTCTTGAACCTATCCCTTTCTCGTAGAGTATGAGCATGTCCCTGTAGCACTTGGAAGTGTGGTTATAGTCGGAAAAGTAGCTGGAAATCAGCTCTAGGCTTCCATGCCAGCTCCCTGACAAACATGACGGCTCCAAGACTGAAAGAGAAGCATTTTGTTCTGCTTCATTTTTTTTCCCATGTTGCTCTCCTGGCAGTTCAGCATAGGGTGTGAAATCCAAAAAGCAGTGTTTTCTGACTGCTGGATCATCACATCCCAGTGTGGAAGAGGGTCGTGTGTGGATGCTGATGAACAGGCAAAGGGCAATCAGTTAGATCTTTCATCCCACCCTTATTCTTCTCTTGAACTTACAAAACTTAATAGTTTTGTATTTTTTATTTTAGTATAATAACAAGGCATACAATCAATAAAGTAAGGTTATCCATGTACTCTTCAGACTATAACCACACTTTGCATTTTATTTATCCCTTTACATTTAAAAAGAAATATTAAATATCCTAATTATATATTCCCTGTATTACTTTTTCACTGTTTTCCTTGCTAATTTTTGCACCGAGTTAAATGGAAGTCACTTCTGAGATTGCTTGCTGAACAACACACTTCCATCATATGTGATTTATTTATTTATTTCTTAATTTCTCACATGCAGTTTTTCAACTATTTTTACATCCTTACAGTATTGGTGAAACTGTAATAACCTAGCTGAGCACTTTTGTTGAACTGAGCTTTCTATGGCAGACCCCTACGTTCTTGTCTGACTTGTGGGACTGATGTCAAGTGGTTGATGTCTGAATTTTGCATTGAAAAAATTCAAATGTGTCAGAAAAACTGTACTCCCCAATAAAAAAAAAAAGTGAGAAATTTCAATTAACTTCAGTGTGTTTGGATTTTGCTCTTGCTAAATAAATCTTTTTCTACCCAGATGGAAAGCTCTGAGAATGCAGCAGCCATAGTGTCCTCTCAGTTCCCCAGAAAACCCAGCCAGCAGCAGGGCTAAGTCACTGGAGGAGCGTGATCTGCTCCTCTCCGGGGAAGAGTGGTCGTTGCCATGTACCATCCACCAAAGAGGCAGCATTAACTGGACAAAAACACACTATGGAAATGGAGCATTACCACCCCAGGCTATGAGCGCTGTGCTCCAAGACTGTTTCATTTGGCACCATTCTATTATTTTACTCCTTTCAACAAAAACTTTATGAATAATGCTTGGGCAAATTTTTGATAGGCTTCATATTTGCACACCTAAATGCAGCCAACTTCTTAGCTTTGCTCAGCATGTAGCCCTCTCACTGACGTTGGGGGCAGATGACGCTTTATTGATTGGTTTGGGGTTTTCTGCTTAACAAAAAAAACCAACCCCACAATAAAAGAAGCTCTGAACAATAAAGCAATGCAGCAGGAAGGTTTGAAAGTCTTTTACTATAGCTTGGGTCTTTTTTTTAAAGAGCATGCCAATTTTTGTCCATACTTCTCAATTACCACCCCACAGTAAAAACATGAAAGATCCTAAGTGTCATTTTTGTTTAAAACGAGCTCCACTTGTAATTAAGTAGTTAATTGAGAACAGAGTCTGATTTTTCCCACATAAACTATCCAGATGAAAAGTAATGGATGAAAACTTTCTCATTCACTAAGTGTATTTCTGCTTCTTGTAACTTATTTTCAAAGGATTTTTTTCAATTCGTCTATAGTCTGGTCACAAATTAGACCAATGACTTTTAATTTTTTATATTTTTTTAAAGTGAGAATCAAATAACAATGGAAAGAAACTTTACCTGGTATTTTTACTTTATTGCTGAATGACGGTATCGCACTTTTATTCACTTTGTGCTAGTGGCTAACAGCACAGTTCACCAGCTAATGCTGACTGTTTCAGTTCCATGCAGGCAAATACCTTGCTTTTTCTGTTGTCAGAAGGGAACATTCCACTTCTCCAGCCCGAGACCTAAGCATCAGATAAGTCATGATGTTGTTCCTAAATTAACACTAGCTCATTCCTTTTCACCAGCGTTTGCTTGCCTAGGATTAGGATGAGGAGAATCCCTCTGACTTGTAATATCTAAAATTATTCTGCTTATTTTTAGAAATACATGCAGGAGGCAAGGAGTTTAGGAAAAAATTTACGGCAGCCCAAACTCTCAGACCTTTCTCCAGCTGTGATTGCGCAGACCAATTGGAAATTTGTGGAAGGGTTACTGAAGGAATGTCGCATGAAGGTAGGTCCTCCCCCTTCCCACCTCCTGCTCTCCCCTTGCTTACACGGAGCCTAAATAGCGCCTGTAGGTGATGTCCTGAAAGGCCTTCAGAGCTGGAACGCCGTTGGTCTGTTGGTGTACCAGGCTATTGCAGGGTGGATGCCCCTTTAGTTACATTTTTCAGTTATTAGAAAAGAAAGAAGTGTGTTGTCACTCTTCTGTTTATGCAGTCAAAGTTGGTGAAAGGAGTAAAAAGGACAGGAAGGAGAATCAGCATGATCAGACATCGTAGGGTGGATTTCCTTTAATTGTTCATATGTAAATGTAGCCTAAACATAACGAGCTGGAGACCCACAGTCAAAAAAGGAAGAGTTCAGCCTGTGCGACTGTTGTGTGTGTCGTCTAGGCAGAGCAAATGAAGTATACCAGTTTCTAATACTGAAGAAGCTTTTATAGCCATGGAAATATGATTTCTTTGTGGTGATTGCAGTTGGTGGTATACTCTATTACCCGAGTTGTAAACTTGAAGAGCTGTAACAAGAAGAAAAACAGATACTGAGTAAGACTGAAAACGTATCTAGCTCTGTACTCTGTTTTTCATACTGATCGGTAATAGATCAACAGTGTAGGGATAGGACAACAGATAAAGGGTATAGAAATAGGACAGTATGGAGTAATCATGCAAACTTTTTTTTTTTCAATTATTCTTTTGATTTACCATCTCTGTAAAGAGATTTGAAGTTTCTCTGGTCAGGCCATTAGCAATGGTCTCTAGATTAAGCATGTTTAAATAAACTCAGCTATAAATTCTGTTGCTTGTTGGATGACATTCTTAGAAACCTTTGGGGATTTTTTTTTGTTATTAAAGACTAAACGCATGTTGGTAGAGAAGATGGGCCATGAAGCAGTTGAACTGGGACATGGAGAAGCCAACATAACAGGTCTGGAGGAAAATACATTGATTGCTAGCCTCTGTGATCTGTTAGAAAGAATCTGGAGCCATGGTCTGCAGGTCAAGCAGGTTGGTAACCGGAAACGCGGGACTTTGTGTGTACAGTGCTCTAGCAAATACTGAATGCCATCTCTGCCTTTTAAGTGGCTACTCAGTGGTGTCAATCCAAAGTTAAGTGGGAAGTATCTTTGGGATCAGAGTCCATGGTTCATATCTTGTGAGGTCTTGGGGTTTTTTTGTGGGTTTTATTTGTTTGTTGGGGTTTTTTTGAGAGGTATCTCGGAAATTGCAATGATGTTGTCAAATTAGGTGTTGGTTTCTTCTCTTTCAACCTTCAAAAGTGAAACCCAGGAAGAGGACAAAGAAACAAAGTGGGTGCTGTGACTGCTAGGTCAGTGGGATGGTCCTCTCCTCTTCCTGAGGTCTTGTGGCCCAAGAGAGAAGGATTGACTCTCACCACTGAACTTTTGGCCCACTGAAATGCCATCCCATTATTCTGCCATGTTCACTGGCCTCTTTTCTTTTGCCTCGTTTAGTTAAGGCTACATACTACATTTTCCATTTTCAGGGGAAATCTGCTTTGTGGTCCCATTTACTTCAGTACCAGGAGAGAGAAGAGAAGCAAGAGCATAGCGCGGAGTCCCCAGGTGAGTACTCAGCAGGTGAATCCATGAAAGGTCCATCACAGTGAATGAGCTCAAGCCTGGGAGGAACAGTGTAACCACACAAAACCCATGCAGGATTTCTGGTGTATTTGCTTGCTAATATCACATTTACATTTGGAGACCTTTTATAATAATTATGAAGGTGCCTGGATGTCTGGATAAAATAGATGGACATCGTTGGAGGCAAATGAACATCCTTATTATCCTTGTCTAGAAAATCACTCAATGCCTGTTCACTATCTTCATTCCTTTTTAATCAGCATTGAGTGAGGTGTGAGAAGCAGTGCTTCCACAAGAGATGATTTCTGAAGTAGCTGAAGGTGTGGAGCTGTGGCTAAAACCACTGACGTTTTTCTTCAGTGAGCATAATCTGTCTCTCAGATCTCAGTGTGAATAACTCCGTGTTCAATAAATATTTATACTGGTGGACTGTATAATTCAGAAGCCATGTAATTAATTTCTACCCATCAGTCTAGGTGCTCACTTTATGCTTTGGTTTGGCCCTTTATAATCACTAAATTACTTCTGTGTTGTGCGAGAGGCTGGTTTTCTGATGACCTTGAGATCTCCCTGCTCACAGGCCACTGCTGGGTATTCAGTGGGTCAACTTCCAAGGACTCTGCAATCCTCCAAATCCTGTAGATGGGAACTTGGATGATTAGTCCTCAAAGACACATCTATGGACAAACTAGTCGCAGTCATGAAAAGACTTTTTAATAAGCTTCAATGAGTAATGCACTAAGCAATCTGGCTGGCAGGCACAAATTCCTGAGAGCAAAATGTGTCACCACAAAGCAGTTTGATCAGAGTAGCGGAGCACAGAAATGCATAGCATTCTTAGCATCAAATATGCTACTGTAGCTTAATTTTATATGTCCTTCTCAGTTGTGAGCTTTCCATAAAAACATATTACTAATAAAACTCGTCGCCGTACAGATTTATGTTGATGTGTTTCACGTATGAAAAGGGAAGTTCAGTGCTGGATTAAGCAAGGAATAGGTAATGTATTAAGCATCTTTCATTTTGTCTGCTTCTCCATTTCCAGGATAGAGTTAGTGATAATGCACAGAAACATTGCAGTTACCAGCCACTTAAGACTGTTTTCAGCTGTCTGTAAAACAAATGCATTGCACACCATTACTGTAATTTTGTATCAACTTCACGTATTTTCTCCATTGTAGTTGCTGTTGGAACAGAAAGACGAAAGTCTGATACAGGAATTACTCTGCCTACTTTGAGGGTTTCCCTGATACAAGATATGAGGTACACGGTTTCCTAAAGCATTAATTGTGGGTTTGATTGTGTAGCATAAGGTAAAGGTCTTCACTGGCTTTGAGTTTACAAAGGCTAAGGAGAATTAAACCTTCTCCTTAGCCCACATTCAAATCTACAGAGCATTGCCTTTTTATTTTACAAAACTTTTTTGCATGTTTACTTGATTTATTTTAACTAAAAGATAATGAAAAACACACAAGTTTTACTGGGGTTTTTGTTTTCCCCAGGGGCTTCTTCTAGCAATAAAGCCAACTTCTACAAATAACAGGAGATACGTTGAATTCCTTGGTATTTTGAGTTTGCTTCTTTTTGTTTGTTTTAAATTACTGACCAAGCCAGTACAGTTGATAGGCAAAGCAAAGGGACAAAAAAACCTGCTCGCAATGCCTGAGCAATATTCTTTCTTTTCAGTTAGCATTTTATGGCAGGTAGTAATAAATGTACAAATTTAGACATGTAATCAAACCTACTATTTGGGTGAGTTTAAAATTGGAATGTGAAGTAAGGGCAGGTGCTCCGTAGGAGACCACAGCCTGGCCCTGGAGAGCTTTTTAAAAAGTGTTGGTTGGGAAATGGAAGGATGAGAGAGTAAGAAGAGGTGGAGGCTGATGTGACAGCACCGGGCAGAAGTTCTTCAGGGCATCTCCTTGACCAAGCCGCTGCCAGGACAGGCCACTGTTTTGACATTTTGCTTGCTATGGCTAAGGATTGCAGTGGGGTAAAAGTGCCATGAAAAGAGGGAAGAGTAACGCAATAATGCTCATCTGTAAAGAGCTGCTAGCAATTTAATGTGAGGCAACATGAATATTGTTTCTTGTAATAACCTGCCCTTCTTCCACGTAAAAATACAGAAAAAAAACCTTATGGTAAAAATAAGATTAATTGTAGTTAGTTCACAAAAACATGACTACAGCGATGTGATTTTTACCATGTGTGTTATTACAGGTATTTTTTTTTTTCTGATGTGAGATCCCACAGATTAGTCAGACTTTTCTGAAAGACAATGACTGCACCTTCCCACCTGCAGTGTGCAAGCTTTTTGTTTGATACTATGTAGTTTAAGTCTTGTGCTCTGATTTCAAAGAATATGACATGCCGCATAAGGCTAAAACAACATGCGGAAGAGGGAGGGAGAATCTATACAGTGTAATTAGGAGTGTAATGCCAAGAGGTCATTTTGAACACGTGTCTGTCATTCTAGCATCTCTCTCATGGGACGTGGCAGCTATTTACTTAATTCAGTCCTGTGAGGCTGACGGGCATGTAGGGGGTCGGTCTGAGGAAAGGATGAAGGAGGATCTGGAGCGGAAACTCATGTGCTGGGGGGGGGGGGGGGGGGTGGTGGGTGGGGGGGGGGGGGGGGGTTGGCCAACAGAGGAGGCTGTGTGCGCTCGCCGCTGCGTGCATGGGTTTTGTCTTCTGTGTACTTCCACTTGAGTAATGAAAGCCCAGCACAGATCTGAGCTCTCTTGCTTGAATCACAAGAGTGTTTCTGCTGCTTTTCAGAGGAAAAGTACAGAAGCAGAACACTGCCTTTTGTAGTATCTTGGGTATTCGTGATTGTCCACAAACATGCCTGGTCATAGAAAAAGCTGGGCAGATGGTGAGTTGAATTTGTCATCCGTAATGTCATGGCTTACTTTCTCCTGCTTGGAAGGAATGCTGCTTAATATTTGTTTGCACACACAGATTTATGATGAAGTTAGAAGGACGGGTAATTGTTAAATTGCCGGGGTTGCAGTGCTAACTGAACTAATGGCTAGAGGATTAAGCATTGCCTTAAGCACAACTTGGTTTTGATGGCTCATGTGAGGTTATGTAAACAACTTAAAAAGCAGGGCTGAATCAGAGTCACGCTCTGAATGTGCAATGAGCCTGTGCTACAGGTAACGTGGTGTGTCCTCTGCCTCCCTCGCAAAGCCAGGCATCTTTGATGTGGTAAGGAAGATGCTCAAGATGTTTATTTTGGTTCTCTGCATGGAGAGTCTGCACAAGCGTGTTTGGGGTATGCCCTTCAGCCTTTACCCTGGGCAAGGATCTGCAGCATCTCTCCCACCCTTCTCCCAGCTCCCCGGCAGACTCCTGCTGCAGCCTGCCTCCTGCATGGCCTCACCCCTTGGGCACATCACTGCGTGTCCAGCCGGACCTATCGGCACCAAGGCAACTCTCCGAAACCTTTGGTCCAGCTGGATTCAAGTTTCGGGTCCTTCCCATTCAGGCAAGCTCTTCCTTGCCACCAGCGCTTGCTTTCATGCCTGTATCATGCCTCCCCTCCCTCAGGGAGCTTGCAGTGGAGGATGGGAGCCCCAGGCGCTGGGCCCACGACAGTGATGCTTGACCTGCTGCAGTCAAAAGAAGCTGGGTTAGCAAAGACGGGACGAGCTACTATGTCTCTGCTCGTTTCTGACTGTGCTGGGATCAGGAGCATTGAGCAGCTGCAGCCTCTTCTGTCAGCACAGCTGTTTGCAGAGGGTATGTCTCGCCATACCCCAGGCTTACATTTGACAGGGGAAATAGATTTTTCTATATTACTAATGGGATTAAAAGCAAGTCCGAACCTAGGGAGTTGCACTGAAATTGCCGTTCAGTGCCCTGACAAGTAGAGTTTGCTGTGTCGTGGTGAGCATACAGTGCTTACACTTAGGTCACCGATAAAAGTAGAGCTGTTCTGACTCTCACAACTGAGAGTGAAGTAACTTTGAGTTCCTGAATGCTCTGTTCTGTTACACTCTGCTTTTGCTGACAAGAAGACTGATTACTGAATCTTTTTAATGTTTCTGGCAAGTTGCATGGTTGCAGATCCTTAGTTTTTCCAAATGCACAATTAATGCCAGTCTGGTCTGAACCAGAAACAGGTAATGAAGAGGTACAGAGCATGCATGGAATTAGGTTGAGTCCATCTGTACTTGAATCTTCTCACAGTAAAATAACCAATTCTACTCAGTGTTTCATATTAGATGTAATCCAAGCTGAGCACTGGCGGGGAAGGGGAGGGAGGGAGATGATAGTCTGTGCTTTGATCTTCCCATCTCAAAAGACTTGAAATGTCTGAGGAGAGTGCTCAACGCTACCAACGGGCTGCCCAGGGAAGTGGTCGAGTCCCCATCCCTGGAGGTATTTAAAAGATGGGTAGCTGAGGTGCTTAGGGACATGGGTTAGTAGTGGACAGGTATGGTTGGGCTTGATGATCTTAAAGGTCTTTTCCAACCAAATGATTCTGTGTTTCTGTAACACAATGTAGTTGAGTGTAGCGCGCATCCTGTTTCTCAAGGACTCTGGATCACATGCCCAACTGTCTGGGCTGGAAGGTCCAATGCTGGCTGCCACACTCTGAGCCAGGAAGGGCTAGACAGTGCCAGGAGCAAGGCTCTCGGCAATGAATCAGCTGGTAGGCATCGCTGCTGACAGAGGGAGGCTGCTGAGCTTGCTTATAAAGGGCAAGGACTTGTGTGTGAGTGTAGTGTGACCTCCTGGATTTGTTTTACAGCTCACTGAGAGTTAGTACTTCTCACCTGGCCCAGCAGAGAACTATCCATGTGTCACGTTAGGAAACAGGAGGAAAGTTTCTTTAAAAAATCTTTTTTTTTTTTTTCCTTTTTTTTGCTTTCTTTTTTTTTTTAAAGGGGTTTTACATAACCTAGGTTTTGCTACTGGCAAGCTACCATTACTCCTATAGATCGATGATGCTTCGGATATTTACATACAGCACAGAGCTCTGTGATATAGACCCCTCAGCTTGGATTGCAAAGGTAGACCTCTATTTTGAGAATTTGGGTAGGCCAGCCTGGTGGACAACGGTGCTGCTGAGCTACATCTGGTATCCACTTCACTTGTGCAGGGCGAACACGTATTTCTGGGCAGCACTAAGTTGTACTTTGCAAATTTGCCCTTAAGGCCCTAGCCATGTTACGTTAGAGCTCTATAAACAAGAGAGTGTTTTTCTCAAATAATGCAGGGTCTAAATATAACACAAAGCACGCGCTTGGGTATAACAGATGGGGGAAAGCACGAGACAGTGAGACTATACTAGTCAACGTAAAAAGTATCAGTCACAGCATGACTTTGTTGGATTTTCTTTGGAGTAAATATTGCCACATTTCCTAACGCTCAGCAGCGTGCACAGGGCCTTCAAGGAAAGTGCGGGAGTTGGAAAGTAAATGGCAACAGAGATCGGTTCAGACTCAGCTGATGATACTTGGAGCCTGCTACGGAGGTTTGGAGGGCTGAATTGTCTGTGCACTTAACATGCAAACTGCGTGAAAATTAAGAAATTGCAGCCTTTTCTTTCCCCTGCTGGAAGCTGTTACTAATTTTTCTTGCTGTTTATTTAACCAAGTGGGGGGGTTTTGGAAGCAGCTTCACCCTGCCATGGCAGTTCTCTTCCTCTTCTAAAGCTCCCTGTGCTCTAGAACTAGGGTTTCTGGCATTCTCCAAACTGAAATATGGGAAGTTTAAAAAAAGAAAAGCAAAACCATAGAACAAAGCCCCTATGGAACAGTTCTGCTTTCCCACAGACCAAGCATGTGGAGGGCTGTTCAGATTATCACTTACACGAGGGCCTCTTACATCCCTGAAAATGTGATTCTGCTTGTGACTGCCTGTTGCTGGCTTTGCCCCAACAATCCTCTTTTTCACAAATTCCCCATGACTGCTACCATCAAGGGGTTTGTTAGAGCCTTCAGAGTAGATTGTGGTTTGGAGAAACTCTTTAAGATGTGTATTGTCCTCTGCCCTCCCAGACAGCAGCTTGAGGGAGCGACTGTGATGTAACTGGGTCTCACTAGGTGGCTGCTTGTTTTTAAGTGTTAGCAGTGTCCATGAGGACATCTACCTGAGGCAGTGCAGGGATGGGCAGATCTACGCCTGCTCACCTTGGCCAGGCAAATGCCAGGACACAGAGCAGTTCATACGGGCTGTAGCACGTCCGGGTTGCACCCTGCCATGCCCAGGAAGGGCTGCCCCATGTCCCCGGGCCAGCCTGGGGCTGCCAGGGGTCTCAGTGCCATAGCGCAGGGCACGGCGTGGCCCTGCTGGGCGGGGTCTCTTTCTCTAGAAATTATGTCAGGAGATGTTTTCCAGTTCAGCTGCTGCATCACACTGGATATTGCCATTTGAAGCATGTAGGATTTTTATGATTCATCTATTATTATTTTTTTTCCCCACCCGTTTCAGGCATGTTCAGAACATGAGCGAGATAAAGACTGATGTGGGGCGAGCCCGAGCCTGGATAAGGCTTTCTCTGGAGAAGAAGCTTTTGTCTCAGCACCTGAAGCAGCTGCTCTCCAACCAGGCACTTGCCAAGTAAGTTGGCTCTTTTTCTCAAAGCTTCACTTTCAGGTCTTCCTCACTGGTGTGTCAAGGTGCTCTGCAGGCTCGGGGCGCAGCCAGGGGCCCTGTTTGGGCACTGTGGTTTCCTGCTAGAAGTGACTGAGCAGAGGGCAGAGGGTAGCTGGGGAGGAGGTACTGCCTACCCAGCCTCACAGAAGTCTGCTCATCTGCCTGGAAAAACGAATCACAATTTTCAGGAAGGAGGCATTAGGTTTTGGTCAGCTCAGTGTGTTGATCCAAGCCACTTCACAGCCCTACAGTGACTGTATCT